TATTCTATTCTATTCTATTCTATTCTATTCTATTCTATTCTATTCTATTCTATTCCTTCCATATTCTATTCTATTCTATCCATATTCTATTCTATTCTATCCATATTCTATTCTATTCTATTCTTTCCATATTCTATTCTATTCTATCCATATTCTATTCTATTCTATCCATATTCTATTCTATCCATATTCTATTCTATTCTATTCTATTCTATTCTACTCTTTCCATATTCTATTCTTTCCATATTCTAACTGCTTTTCATTTTCCACCGTGACAAAAGGGAAAGAGGCAGTGAATCAAAATCATCATTAGGGGGAAAAGATCACAATCCGTGTTTATTTCTATAAACCTCCTTATTCACACAGAACTTGCACCAGCTTGAATCTTTGCAAAGAGATTGTCGTCTTATGCAGAGAAAACATTGTGGCTGGGAGAAAAAAACAACAACTAATTATCTATCAAGTCCTCTTCGACTGACATTCTTCCCCTGAACGGGTTTAACCTGGTTAGCAAACATTCCTTCACGTTATAAAATAGCTCTTCAGATAGACAATATTTACCTTATTTTGAACAGATTTTTAAGCCATGGACGGTTATCCTTCCATAGGGATAATACTAAAGTGCTCCCTTTTAAGATTTCGATGACACTCACCTGCAAGGTTTTGGCCAGCTCTTCTACTTGACATTGGCAAGCTGTTTTGGGTGGAATGGCCTCAATTTCTTTCTCTTGATGAAGCGACTTCAGTTCAGATTCATCTTCGGACTGCATCATACAAGCGATAAATTGAGGGACATTAGCCGGTGGGTAACAATTAAGCTTCTCCTTGATCCTTGTCATAAATCACTGCTTGGGCTGGAAAGAGGACCAAGTTTCCCCAGTTTCACACACAAACGCCAATTCTTTGTCACTGCTGGCAAACATCTCATGAACGTTGACAAAGAGGAAGGCGTTATTGTTTCCCCCTTCTTGATCGGGGGTGGGGGGGGTGGGGGCTTTCAAAACCGTTCAGCAGAATTATGGGTCCTCCGACCTGTTTTGGTTAATTCGCCCCACCACAATTTGACACTCGGCTTCACAAGATGCTGTGATGTTGTGACTCTGGAGGCCATCAGGCAGTTGCTTCTCCCGATGAGCCCACAGAGGGGAAATGTTGAAGGAAAAGATTAGGGCCGTGATTAGGGCACGATTCATTTTCAATTCTGTTTGCTTTCTGTGAATTTATTTGGGGGTTCATTTCCCCCCCCGAGGGTCCCGTGCAGGAATAGCATGATGCTTTTAACCAGGTTAGTGCATGAACACACTTTCCCAGATTGAACCATACACTGAATCGTATGAAAGGGTCTGCATTCACCCAAGATGCCTATCCATCCGACCCTAACCAGGTTCCCTGGGAATGGAGTTTTTTAGATTGATAACAATCTTGTGTGCGCATTATGCCAACTCAGTCATTGTTTAAGACAGTAAGAAAACGCACTTCTGGGTTTGTTTGTTTTTTGCAATTGTGCGTCCCAGTTTCCTTGGGAAAGAATTTCTGGAGGCCACAAAAACTGGTGCAGAAGTTCATGGGGTTATGAACAGTGGTGAAATTCACATTTCTTTACTACCGGTTCTGTGGGCATGGCACGGTGGCCATGGTGTGGCTTGGTGGGCGTGACAGGGGAAGGATACTGCAAAATCTCCATTCCCTGCTCCCTCTGGGGCCAGCCAGAGGTGGCATTTGCCAGTTCTCTGAACTACTCATAATTTCTGCTACTGGTTCTGCAAACTATTCAAAGTTTCCGCTACTGGTTCTCCGAAATACTCAAAATTTCTGCTACTGGTTCTCTGAACTACTCAAAATTTCTGCTACTGGTTCTCCGAACTACTCAAATTTTCTGCTACTGGTTCTCCAACCTACTCAAAATTTCTGCTACTGGTTCTCCGAACTACTCAAATTTTCTGCTACTGGTTCTCCAACCTACTCAAAATTTCTGCT